CGGGCTCCCCGCCAGCAGCGGGGCCCGACCCCCTCCCTCCCGTGTCTCCCCCTCCCAGCCCGGTGGCCTTGGAGGCGCCCCGGGCTAACCGGTTTTGGGCTTTGGGCTCGGTCGATTTCTGGCTCCGAATCCGACTCCGAGGTCCCTTCTCCCCTTCCCCGCCCGACCTCGGTGGCTGAATCGTCGTCTCTAATGGCGGCGGGTCGCCGACGTAAATTCGCTCCAGGGGGCCGGGGCCGGCCGGTCGTGGTGGGTGTGGGTTCGGATGGTTGGTGCCGTGTTGGCCGTGGGCGCCGGCGCGCCGCCTCTTGGTCATCGGATCCCTCTCTAGTGGGCCCTGGGGTGGCTGTCCTTGATTCGCTGGCTCCTTCCCCTCCGGTGGCGGTTCGCCCTGGCTCGCCGTCGTTCGTGGGCCTCCCCTCCCCGGCGGCGGCGGCGCTGACACTAACCCTAGATCTGGGATCGGGGCTGGCGCTGGTGCCCCGGGCCGTGGGTCGGGCTCCTCAGGTTGGTGCTGGGCCGTGTGGGCCTGTGCTTGTCCCTCCGCTGGGTTCCGTGGTCGATTTCCCCCCCTCATTTCCGTGCCTCTTGGGCCAAGGCCGACCCAATTGCGTCCCTCTCTCACTTCGGCCCCTCTGGGTGAGCCCGACCTGTCTGGCACTGGCTTTATATGGGTCCGGAGGGGTTCGGCTCCCTCTTTTCTAGGGTTTCCTGCTTCTGCCGCGGACTTGCGACGGCGCCGCTCCCCCATCCGCCGCTTTGTCAGATCCACGCCTCCTCCTCCCCTCCTTCTCCCCTTCGCGTCGGTGGCTGCGATGGATCGCTCCCGCGGGGTCCTCCAGTGAGGCTGTCTCTGGTCTCAAGCGGGGGCGGGACGGTTCTGGTGACGCCGCTGCGGATCTGGAGTATGAGGCGTCGCTCCGCGCTAAGCTCCAGGCCTCGCGGTCGGAGACGGGCGCCGCGTCCCCTCGTGCGTCTGGATCCGGGCCGTCGGCACCTCCGCCCCTGGCGCCCTCTGCTCCGGTGCCCGTGGCCGATCCTTGGGAACAGGCGGCGCGGGGGAGCTGGGCGGGTTCTTCGGGACCTTCCTCGTCTCCTTCCTCGCTTGCCCCCTCGGGTGGGCCGCCGCGGGCGCCGGCGGTGGGCGGTGGCGGGCCGTCCCGCTTCGTCCCTCGTGGCGGCTCGGGGGCCCCTGTCCGGCGCCCGTTCGGTGCGGCTGCGGGGCGTGGCGCTGGCACTGGGGCCGGTGGTGGTCCTCCTGGTGATGGCATCCTCCCCCCGCCACCCTCTCATGGCGTGAGCCGCAACTCCTCTCACTCCCAGGTTTCCAATCCCATCCTCACCTGCTTCGCGTGTCATCGCCCTGGCCACTTTCAATCCCGTTGCGAGAATCCTCCGTTCTGTCTCATCTGTAGGGAGGACGGTCACCTCACGGTGGACTGCCAAAGTAGGGTCAAGCCTCCCTCTTTCATCCACTACGGTATCGGCCTCCCTGGCTGCTCGTTCTTTGCCCTGGACAAGGAAGTTCCTGTTGCTGCCCCCAACCCCTCGCTGTCCAATGTTGGTGTCATTTCTGTTCAGGACAAGCACATCTCTCCGCAAGCCCTCCTAGACGAACTCCGTTTGTGGGATGAAGGTGGTTGGGATTGGCAGATTCGCCAACTCTCTGATTTCGAGTTTGCGGCCACTTTTCCTTCTAAAGAGAGTCTTCGCATGATGTCTTCCTGCACCAGCTTCACACTTCCTCTGAACCAACTTGTGGTCTCGGTCAAAGCTGCTTCCAATGGGTCAAAGATCATTTCCTCTCTATCTGATGTTTGGGTGTTAGTGGATGATGTGCCTCCCAGCATGCGCACCTCATCTTTCCTGATGGCTTTTGGGGTGCTGATTGGGAAACCAATTGAGGTTGACCCAGCTTCGCTATCTGTTCTTGGACCAGCTCGGCTTCGGGTGTGGTGTGTGGACCTGATATGCATTCGTGGCACTGTTGATGTTTTCCCGGCGGCTGGTGGTTTTCGTCTTCGGGTCCGGGTGGAGGGTGCCCCAGGCTCTGACTCCCCTTCTCCTCCCCCTCCCCCCCGGCCTCGGGTGATGATGATAAAAGCAAGGAGGGTGGTGGGGGTCTTGAGGACTCATTGAATGGTACGGATCCTCGTTTCACCCAGTCTGTGTGGGATGGGTTGTCTCCTGCTGAGCAAGAACTGATGAAGGATTGTGCTCCGGCTCCGGCGGGTGGTGGGGTTCGGGGCTCGGGGCTTGGTGTGGAGGGTGGGCCGGCGGCT